CATTTTCAGCTACTTTTGGTCTAGTTCAGTCAACCTCCTGTTGACTGTTCTAAGAAATTCATCAAATCTGTTTTCAGCAAAAAAACAACAGCCTGCTGTACATTAGATTAAAACAAGCTTGAGCTTATCAAAAACCTGCTATACTTTGCAGCACTCTAGGTCAGTACTGCTTAATTGATTTATCACTTGCTAAAGGAATTCACTTTGCTGTCACAACTCTTACTTTCAAGTACACAAAGAAAATTAATGAGCCAGATGGAAAATGTGTTTAACAATGTTTGGTGCTGCCATTCTGAGCAGATAAAGTCTGTACTATATTACGTTTCTTCAGAGCAGCAATACCTTTTTTATCACAACTCAACAAACATCTGCAATTCTCATGCAGTAAAGATCTAGTCTCACAAAAATATTTCTTCATTTTTTAGTTCACTTGTGATTCCTTCTCCTGACACATACTGACTTTTTATTTCTTTTAAAGGGGTTCTGGCTTATTCATTGGAGTGGACTTAATCAAGGATCAAGCAGAAAGGACCCCTGCCACAGCAGAAGCAGAGTATCTAGTAACAAGGTACAATCATGTAGTTCTTTGATGTGGGAGGCCACTGAATAGTTCTTAAAATATAGCCAACTGGCAGAAAAAGAAACAAGTCAGTGCAGAAAAGCATTGTCTGGACAGTCTGCATGCTGATACTTAAAAGTTTTCTGAACATGTAAAGGCAAACGTAATTCTTTGTTATTGCTCTTTCCAGACTTAAGGAAGAATATATTCTACTGAGTACAGATGGGCCAGGACGAAATGTGCTTAAATTCAAGCCCCCAATGTGCTTCAATATGAATGATGCAAAATTTGTTGTGGACACAGTTGATAAGCTACTAACAGGTAGTACAGATCAGAACTACCTTCTAGAGGGTTGCTCTTGGACTGCCTTGAAGTCAGTGCTGAGCCACTAAGCCTGATTTTCAGAAGTGCTAAAACAGAGCCAAGATGGTAGATAGTGAACACACAGGAAAATTAGTCTTAGTCAATGCAAGCTTAGCCTTCACTTCTAAAACATAATAGTTTTGTTAGAGAACTTTGAATTTACTCCACAGATGCATATGCCTTTTACAGTAACTTTCTTGTGGCAGAGGCTGAAGTGTTTACCTGTCTGAACAGGGGCAACTTGTAAAAGCTGTCCAAATTTAACTCCTGAAAACCATAATCTGTGTGCTTTTGCCACTTAGCTTTTCATACAACTTCTGCACACTCAGTATTCACCAAGTTAGTGCAAAAGTTTGTCTCAAAGTCATGAGTTTGCTAAATCGTTGCTTATTCTCTCTTCAGATATGGAAAAAGAATGTCTGAGCCAACAGAAAACATCCACTTGTTCTACCTGAGTAGGTATTTCTCTGTATTCACCCTTTACTATTTAAAAGCCAAGGTTTCTAAACATAACTTCACAAGCATTGTCACTGGCAGTAGAGCAGGATCAAGCTTCCTCAGAGATACTTTTACTTGAATTCAAGTCTGCAGGAATTTCTGGCAATCAACCAGCATGGACCAGACTTGCGTACATCTGGCATTCACAGCTACCTTCTATCAGAGTCTAACACTTCTAGTAACGCTGTATGTATTCATTTGTTTGCAAGCTAGGTCGAACATGTCCCAGAAATGCCTACAACCAGAGCATGCTATGCTTGTCTAGAAAGCCTTAAGAGTGACTGGGTTTAACCCTTGGCATGCAAATAACATGCACATCAAGATAAAAATGTAGTTTTTATGCTAGCTGCTCAGTGCTTCAAGTCTATAGACAGAAGCTGTTCCAGCTGCATAACTACTTCTCAGCAAGTGTCCCCTTAACTGCGCTTAAGGGAAGGAGCACTGTTCATTCTGCATGCCACAATTTGTGAACCTCCACTTATGCTAACGACTATAAAGAGCTATAAACATTTACTACTATAGTTCCTGTTTTGCTGAGCATTTGACTTTGAAATAGTATTGCCTTCTGTTCTCAAGTGTTTTTGACTACTTCGTAGGATCATTTCAGGTTCGTGGCTGTTATCTCATGCTGATGCTTAAGCATCAATTTACCCCTATACTAAGAGGTTTGTGGGCATCAGTAAGACAAGTCCTGTTAAGTCTTGCAAGCCTTGTAAATCTTACTATCTGTTGAGGTCCCTGCAGCTTGCTTACAGAGAACATCTAGCTGCAACTCGTTCTGCCACACACTCATGACCACAATGTACACTTGCAGTCCACACCTCAGTAACAGGACCCTTTGGTACACTTAGTACTTCAACCTACTCTAGGAGACAACCAAGTGTTTTTTAACCAAGCACCCAGTAGAGCTCTAGGTACCTGGACAGGAATGTACCTAATGTAATCATTGTCATCACTGGTGGCCTCAACCACCACACCAGATTCAGTGCTATGGCCCTGAGCTAAGGAGAAAGATGCTTTTAGTTCAATGCAGTATTAGTATAGCAGGCACGAGAAAAATGTGTTAATATTTTATTTAGCAAGTTAATGGAAAGACATACAGCTGTTTGTACTACTTATTCTCAAGAACAGAAAGATTATTTAACAGTGCCAGTTTAACTTAGAGACCTAATAACGTATAACTTTGTGCTTGTCTGCAATCTAAACTTACCAGGAAAAATGTCTTTATTTTCTATACGAAACCAAGAATGCAAAAAGCCTCTTACTAAGTACAGTACTAGTATGACACTTACATATAATGTAAGCGAAAATGAGGCAGTGAAGTAGATTCCTTTTAATTATGCTTTTACAAAAAAACCGTAACATTTTCTTTCCATAGGTTTCAAACAGTGTTCAAGATCTACTACTAAGAAACACTATTCTACTATAATAATGCACATTTAAACTTCATCCTAGCATGTCTCAGACCAGATAGATTACCTTTGATTTTGTTATTTTCAGTTATCTTATTAGTAAAAACTTCAGGAGAAATAAATTTTACAAGAGCTTGTTTCAACTCTGGCAGAAGTGTAGAATTGGCTTTTATTTAAAACCACATATCTAAAACTGCTTATAAAGAAATGTGTTTCTAGTAGCTACTATAAACTACATTTTCTAAATCCATGCTTTCTCAGGTTATGACTTTTGCAAATTAAGATGAGCCAGTGGGTTCTCTGATATTTTTAAAGTCTGCTGCTACCTATGCAAATGCCATTCTAGCTGCCAATACACCCACAGTCCTTCCCCAGGTCCCTCTGACCAGTTTCAGTAGCCAGTTTTGTAACAAGGTCCCTAGTATCACTATATGCAACAAATGGTCTCAGCAACCAGATTAAGTCAAAAACTTCAGTCCAAAATTCATAGCATCAAATGCATGAGGAACAGACAACTGAGGGCCATGGCTCCCAAACCAGTTCTTAGGAAATACTCTGCCCTCAAGAAATACCCAAGTAGGATTAGTGAATTAAGAATACATTACAGCCATTATCAACAACCTTGTATACAAGCCCTTGCTTTCACTAGGCAATGACATGTTATTTGTATCACAAACTTTTCATGCAAAGAAAAAAATGCATTTCGGTATCAGTACCCTCAATTTCTGCTTAAGGCCACATCACATGTCTAGGAAGCATTATCCAAAAACCTACTTCCAGAAAACACCTAAGTAACAGCCAACTGACAAACTATTGCTAACACACCAGCCAGAAGTACTCCAGCAGTATGGTACTGATACTATGCAAATTCCCCGTTGGAACTGTTTGCTAGAAAGATATTCTGCTACCCCTTATTTCATAAGCAAACACATAAAAGTACACAACAGAGTAAAAACATTTCCATTTTAAATCTTGAGACAGTAATACTTTTAAATACTGTACTCATTTGTTTCAGTGGTCTGCATTTTTTTTACTTGCAAGTAAATTGGGCATTAGGTTACATACTCCAGCTGTATAGCTGTCATGTCAACTATCATACTCAAAATCTGATTAATCTTTTTTTATACTGAAGATTTCCACTTTACAGCAAGTTTTCTTTTAAAGGACAGCCAGCAGGGAGCAGCACATTATAGTCCCTGCAGGAATAGCTGCATACCTTTTTAAAAAAGCTGAAAGGCCAACTAGCAAGAGGTATTTATGTCTTGTCTTAGTTACTTGGTTTGAGTCCACTTCCGGTTCCCATTTACTCAAATACAATATATATTACAAGAAAAAAAAAATAGTCAAATTTTAGTTTTCAAAGGAAAGTAAAAATCAAAATTTACTGCAACAAATATTTAAAGTTTTCTTTGTGCAGCAGCACTTGCTACTTATTTATAAATCTGAGACTGGGACTATTCTGCAGCAAGGCAGGCAAATCATATGATAGTTGTTGCCTTCAGATAGTAGTAAATCAGTCAAAAAGAGCAGCATATCTCTAGCTAGTCACACAGCTCTAAAGCTGCCTCTTAAGAGCAGCTGTTGTTTCTCATCTCACAATTTTAGTGAAGTTCTTTACCCTTTTTCGAATACACAAAGCTGCAAAAATTCAGACTTTGCATTGGTAATTTAATGCCTGACTAACCTGTCTTTTAAGAACTTGTAGAAAAGTCTCAGACTCAAGACAGTGAAACACTAAGGAAGTGCAGCTAGCTTCTTGCACACCTCCTAGCTTCCTCCTGCCATGCTGTCTAGACTTCCAAGCCCTACCTGAAACCTATGCCTCTGGCTTCTCCTAGCAGAGCCCTACAATGCAGACACTAACACCAGTTACGCTGAGCCTCTGTGCTTGTCTAGAACGTGAGTCACTGGCATACCAGCACAGCCTGTGCAACAGCTGGGGCTCTCCACCAGAGTTCTCTTCCATAAACTCCAGGCACAACTGACTGCAGTTCTCTTAGCTGTCACATAACTGCAAATGAACACAACTACCAATACAGCCTTCTAGTTTTAAGATTAAAAACATTTAAGCACAACTCTTCATCTATCAAGGTACTGCCATGAACTAAGTTCTGGGATCAGTATACTGGTGTTTTACTAATACATAAGCTGAAGAATGGCACAAGACACTAGATTATGCCTTTTTTATTTCAAAAGCTAGGATAGCTTCAATATCCATGTCATGGTGAATCAGAACACATGTAAAATACCTTACAATACATTAGATTCCAAAAAGGTACCAAAAAGTACAGTAAAATTAACACTTCCATTACAGGAAATGTATGACACAAAAACAATACAAAATAAAAAGGTGGAAAGTGACACTGGTTCCCTAAGATGCATCTCATTCTGTACAACTGGAGTACTGCGGAGTCCATAGTTAACTCCAAGAGGCAGTCCCTAGATGCAGAGCTGCAGCTTTAAGCAGACCCTCAAAATCAGTTTCAGTTTAACCTATTAATAAAATCATTAATTAATATCTTCAGCAAGGCTGAAATTTACACACCACACTGTCTAGACAACTATTTATCTGTAAGTATTAAACATGTAAAACAGTTCCAGGGAGCTCTTCCAAGTAAGATGCACATTTAACAGGCCATAGAAATTTATTGTAAAGTTAAATTTGGTACAGAACTGAAATATCCATCTACAGCATTGTATACAAAACCTATGCAGTCATTTTCCAAAAGAGACCATGCCACTGCATACCTGAATAAGTTTGATCAATATGGCTTGTAGTTATTCTGATGACCACCACGTCTTGGTGTCTTCCCGTAATTTGCACTGCCTTGACCTATGAACAAGAAAACAAATGCATTAAACTGCTAATTAGTTACGCTTGCTTATACCCAATACAGTTCTCTTTACTTACTGTAATCATAGCCTGGTCCATATCCATAATACCCATATCCTGAATAATCATAGCCTCCATAGCCACCATAACCTTGCTGATAGCCGTATCCTTGATTCCCATAACCCTGGTTCCAGTAATTGCCATAACCTTGATTCCAATTTTGACTTTGAGCTATAGAAGGGAAAACCATCCACAAAATCCCATTTTAGTACACACAACTTATTTAGAATGTGTCCATACTAAAGTAGTGCGTGTGGTACTTACCGCCGCCTCTTCCACCTCTGCCTCTTCCTCCATAGCTACCTCTTCCTCCACCACTACTGAACTGTTGCTGCTGGTATACTTCTTTTGGCTGTGCTACCTTAATCTCGCACTGAAAATAAAAAAAACCAACGAAGAGTGAGTATACTGTTGTGTAGCAGCAGCACCCAACCTAACCACCTAGGAAAGTCTAAGGTTGCTCTAGAGGCAAAAGAGGCAATACTGCTGTGCTCCATCATGTGACCAGGACTAATGCATATCCAGAAGCATCTGATTTGTGCCACCTGGGCAAAGCTAAGTCACTGTTGGCCATTCAAAGAAGGCAGCTGCTTTCAGGGTATTTATACCCTGCATATTCCCTACCAACTTCCCCATGGAAGAGAAGGGTTAGTCATTATTTGCCATACAAAGTAGGCCACTGCTTTTACTTTAATACTGCCTGTTCTCTGCTATCAACTCCCTCATGGAAGAGGTGCTGAAGCCACCTCAGCACATCCACCATTCCTGTACAAGCCATGAGGCTGTCTTCTTATCCTTGGCACAACCTCCAAGATGAGGCTGTTGCTATTGGACCACTTCACCTGCACTGCACAGAATGAACAAAGCTCTCAGAAATGCACCAGAACAAGTTTTCCTGGCAGCCTTCACACACCCTATACACTGAGCATCTGTGTTGGGCTATGACATACGCTTACCAACACTTGAAGTCACCACTTATCAAATATTAAGAACAGCTAAAACCAACCAGAACTGACATTTCCAAGACAGGTTCCCAACCTGCAGGTCAACCTGTCAGGCAGCTTCCTAGTTCCTGAATCTGTGCACAGCCTGAGATGAAGACTACTGCTGCTGTGAAAGTAACAATTCCCTGTGATAACAGCACCTGAGCAAGCCTGGCTTGGAATTCTTCACACAGGAGTTTTAAGGTGATCTGCTCTTTTTATTATCCCTATGACACAAAATCTCATAGTTATGAGATACAGAGATATGATTTCTTAGCTCCCTTTTTGCACATAAGCATTTGCCTCTCCTGAAAATGAACTTTATAGCTAACTACAGTGTCTTGTCAACTACCACTACGTTTGCCAAAATTTATTCTGTGCTATCAAGACCAGTTTTAAAACTAAGTGCATTCTAATTCACTGTGTCAGACAGCATGACCAGCTCTAACAGGGCTTTGATGTTAGCATATGGTCAGCACTAGCCATGGAGCAAGGGAAGAGGAACAAACTCCAGCCAGCACACATCAGTTGCCTCCAGTCCTCTTCTCATTAGTTTAACACGAGCCTCTATTAGCTCTTCCCACAAGAGCACTGTCAGCCGTTCAGAGCATCTTATACTGCTTTTACAGTAGTTCAGCTGACAACGTACAGGTTGCCGTAAGCATACATTTACTCTCTGGATCCTTGTCTTGGGCTTATATGACAAGGTTTTGGTAGCAAGGAGGGCTGCAGGCAGACCTTTCTGAAAAGACACCAGAAGCTGCCACCATGTCAGAAAGAGCTAGTTTCAGCCAGCTGCTTACAAAGTTACATGTCTGTAAGCTTCAAATTTATACAAGTGCTTTGTGCTGAAAGTACGTATTTATCTGTTGACAGGGCTTATATTGCTAGATTGATAAGCCAGTTTTTCCACATATACTGAATGCAACTAGACGCTTTACATATAAGAGCCCCTAGAACATTAGCAAGTATTAAAGTTACAAGTATTGGGGAAAGAGCCCTGGTAGCCTCTGCAACTGAACTTATGGCAAACAAAAGAAAAACCTGTGGTGAACTGCAAGCTGTCCTTATGGTAATTTGGTCACTTTGAAACCAGAGGTCCAGAAATAATTTTCAGATAATAGATGTAGTGGTTTTAAATAACTTGGACAAAATTTGCAAGTCAAAAGTTTCTACCTTGCTTCC